GCTTAGGTTTCGACGTAGAGTTGTGGAGTAATGATATAACGGATGCCGAATGATCAAACTCCACCTCAATTTCATGGAAATGTGCCTTACACCCCAAGCCATTTTGTCCCCAAACGTCATTAATCAAAACCCGGTCTAGCTTAGCCCAAAGTGTACCCCTGTTCCACGTGTAGAACACACCCGTAGATGGGGCATCTTGTAGGTTGGCCGAGACCATGAAATCATACAAATGTTGCATCATGTACGCCGTCGGGGGGGTTGGACCCACCCTTTCATTTGGCGCACGTACACAATTAAAATCACCAATAATAAGCCACGGATCTAAAATGGAACCCCCCAACTCCGTTAGGTGTTCCCATAAGGCTTTCCGTTCTAAAACAGTGTATAAAGTATAAACAAACGAGGCATATAACACAAATTGGGTGACCCGGCATGTGCATTTGATATGCATGTGTTGTTTATCAATTTCTAAAGGGATAAGGCTCAAATTGGACATTATGGTTTTATCAGAATCTCATATTGGACACTAAGGTTTCAAATGGACCAAATTAGACACTATGGTTTCATATATATCTCATATTGGACACTAAGTTTCATAATTCATAGTTTTTGGACACTCACTTATATTGGATAAAGATCAAATTGGACACTCACTTATATTGAATTTTGAAACTTTAGTGTCCAATATGAGATACATATGAAACCATAGTGTCTAATTTGGTCCATTTGAAACCTTAGTGTCCAATATGAGATTCTGATGAAACCACAGTGTCCGTTTTGAGCCTTATCCCATTTCTAAAACTGTGCAATTCACAAAATTTGGGTCCCACATGATTGCAATGCGCCCACCATTTAATTGGTCAAAATTAGTTTCATGCAACCAGCCCGGCCACACATTAGAGACGTAATTTTTAAAACCAACCAAAGACATTTTAGTTTCTAAAAAACAACACAAATTAATATTATTAGTCCTAATAAAATTAGAAATAGTGCCATGTTTAGAAGGCTTTTTTAACCCTCTAACATTCCATGAAGCAATTTTGATCATCATCTAATGTTAGAAAAACCGAAGCATACCCCACACATCAAGAAAGGTAGAGGTCTGATGCATAGGCCTCATCTTCGGGATCAATTTCTCCTTTCTCCTTTTCTTTCCTTGCTCTTCTTCGCATTTCTTTGAGATATTTTTTGTTCCTTTCCTGGCTAGCATCAAAAAAAGAAAGCACACGTTGAATAAAAGCAATTTTATCAAAATCATACCAATCTCCATTCTTTTTAACCTCCGGACAACTAAGAAGAAAATCTTCAGTAAAGGTGACTCCGGCTTCTTCCAGGGAGGCTAGTTCCAGCTTTGACCCTATTTTTACTGTAGTCACACCCTTTGGAACCTCATCTGGCGCCCATGCGTACGCAACAGTCCTGTTCTTTTCATCCAAAAGGACCATGGTGACAACATCGTCAATACCCATCTCATACATATTAGTAACAAGGTACCCTTTGCCACCATTAATAGCCAAGTCCCCTCGGTTTTCCTCAAAAGTAGTAAAAGGTAACGCGCTGGCAGCATCCTGGTTGGCCGCATCCAATTTTTCCGAACACTCAATGTCCATAAGTTGCTTTGTTTGTAAGAAATCAACATTATGTCGGGCCTGCACATCAAAGAAGCTAGCAACATTAAGGGTAAAAATGTTTACCCTTAAAGGTAGTAAACCGCGGCACCAAACGCAATCCGGACAGCCTTCCCTTTGATCTTTGATCCTTTATGATCCTTCAAGATCCATTTGACGGCGCTACATAGCGTGGTCATCTCTCGAGTCATGCCCAACCATTCCTTAATTTTTTCCCAGACCCTACAAGTGTAATGACAACGAAAAAATAGGTGTGGCATTGTTTCCAATCCACCCTTGCACAGGTCACAACGATTAACAATATATACTATATAGGTAACCGAGGTTATCTTGTGTAGGTAACCGGTTCCTCATAGCAAGCCAGACATTGAATGAAAACTTCGGAGGGATATAAGACTTCCAAATGAAACTCATCCACACTCTAGGCGTCCCTTTAATTCTCAACAATTCATAAATCTTCCCGGAACGGAGTTTACCATTTATGGATCTACTATTTAGGCCCATAATGGTATCATTCAAATTGTTAAAACACCCCAAAATTTGGTCCCGTATGTGACTCAATTTCTTCATGAACATTGAGTCACGATTGTGTGGGATAAAATCCCACACGCTCCTACCATTGAGGTAAACCCCATTTACCCACCTCACCCAAAGGGTGTCTTTCTTCCTATGGACATCCCATAGTGTTCGAGAGAGAAGAGCATGGTTCCAAATCTTGGCATTAAGAATGCCAAGGCCCCCCTCCTCTTTTGGTAGACAAATGTCATCCCAAGCCACTTTAGAGTATTTCCCACCCCATAGAAAAATTCGGCAAATAGAAACTATCCTATCGAGGATAGTTTGGGGGACCGGGAAAACTTGGAGCCAAAAAGATTGGACCCCCTGGATCACGGATCTAATCAACTCTAGTTTTCCGGCATACGATAAAGTCTTTGCATTCCAAGCCTTTAAAAAATCCGAAATTGTATCAAGCAACGGTGAATACTGTGCCACAGAAACTTTTAGAGGGGCAAGTGGAATTCCGAGATATTTAACCGGGAATGTGCCACGCCCAAAGTCCACAAGGGCCATGATCTCCTGGATATCATTTTCATTAACTCCACCTACAAAAATGTTTGACTTATCATGATTCACTTTAAGGCCTGAAGCATCCCCAAATTCTTCAAGGGCTTTGACAAGTATTTCAATTGAGTACGTGTCACCCCGAGAGAAGAGTATTAAGTCATCTGCGTAGGCCAAGTGTGTCAATCCAAGTTTCGCACATTGGGGGTGAAAATTAAAATTTGGATCTTTGGTTTTCAAATTAATTAGTCGAGAAAAATATTCTAAGCAAAGGACAAATAACAATGGAGACATAGGATCTCCTTGTCGAATGCCCCTCTTACCCTCAAAGAGCCCATACAACGAACCGTTCAAGGAGACGGAGAATGAAGCCGTGGTTACGCACTCCATAATCCATCCAATAAATCTCAGGGGGAATACCTGCTGTTTGTTTTCTTGGCATAAGCTATGGAGAAAACGAAGTGACGAACCAAACCAAGTGCGGGCACAATAGGAATTTGCTATAAATATTCCATCGGCCAAGTTCAAAAGTTGGGTTCATTAGCATTTTAGTCAAGTGAAAATGTCAATTAACCAAACACCTCAATTAGTTGTTCATCTGGTAAAAAAGCTAAAAAATGATCAAATTAGCCAAAAAAATGGCTGATAGTCCCGTATAACCAAACACCCCCTAAATTTTTGTGGCCGTTTTTTCCAATTTTGCCCCTAATTTGGGCGGCAATTTTGCCTCCAAAAGTTGTAACCATTCTGTTAGTTTATATAATATAAAGATAAAGATATTTATATAGCCACTTTATACGATACAGGAAACATGTTTCTTATCATAAGATATTTTATAAATAATCATGAGAGACGATTCATTTCTAAATGGGATAATTAAGTTCGTCATTTTAATACATCACTTTACAAGTCCTTTATTAGTGTGGTGTGTATATTCCGCTCACGAATTCGGGCTCCATTATCCATGTATGTTGGTAATCTCGATGGTTGAGCGGCAAAGGTATTAGTGTGTTGCGTTCTTTCATTGCTTGATGATGGCATATTAGTAGTTAAGCTACGAAGAGGCACTAGGCGTTCATCATTGTTATGCTCAATTCCTTGTTCCCTATTATCCTCTACAATCATGTTGTGCATTACAATGCAAGCCATCATTATTTTTCCCAATACTTGTTTATCCCAAGCTAGGGACAGGGCCGGTTCTGGGGGGAGGGCAACAGGGGTGACCGCCCTAGGCCCGAAAAAATATAGAAGAAAAAATAGGCCCAAAATCTTTCCTTTGTATATTGTGTGAGTAGGCTTTTTTTATTCTTAAGTTCAATTAATTAGGCCTAATGTTTAATTTTATTGACAATTTCAAAATTTAAAACATGTAAAAAAAACATTTAAACAGACCCAAGTTAAAAAAAGAATATATATACATTAATTTTAAGTAGAACCGGTTTTAGTTTTTAAAAGCAATACAACTGTTGCTAGATCAATAAAAGACACATACGTCTCTTCACTCTTCACATCTCTTTAACCTTTAAGGTTTTTTATTCATTTTAATTATTAACATAACAAATTTATATAATTATTTTAGAGCCCGTGGCTCCCAAATCTCATCCCAATTATTTATTTGTTTCCAAATTGAAAAAAAACTATATTTGAGTTCCTAATAGTAGTTAAAGAGGACGACAAATTGACATTCTTCTTGGCGGCCAAACATTTTGTCACTTTGAAAACCTTCATTCTTTAGAGACTTCAAACTTTAAATTCTTAGCGGTCAATAAATCATTCTCAATTTATGAATTCAGCATGAAGTAATATTTATTTTCATTTATCTTTTCAGTTGTAATTAAAAGAAAGTTTAGTGTTCTTATACGTGAAATTTTTATTGTTTGTCATACTTATTTTGGAAAGAAGATTGTCTATGAGTTTTGCTTCACATTGTTCTACGAGAAACGTTTTTAAGTAGTTTTTTCTTTTTATTCGATACCCGTGTTGTTACTTTTTCCTATGTATCTTAAATAATAATAAAGTGATCTTCACCTTTATTTTATGAACTTCGTTAGATACTTTTATTATAATTTATATGTAAAATAAGTATATGGTTTACGATTTGTCTTGGATATAAGCCCGAATTAGCGTATCGCCATAGGCCCAGAAATGAACAAGACCGGCCCTGGCTAGGGATGGGTACTTTACAATTGTCCATCACGCTTGTAACACTCCGAAAGCTCGTTCCACATCCTTTCTCGCACCCTCTTGTCGTTGTGCAAAAAGTTTCTGTTTGGCAATTTGTGGAGCAGTGATAAATGAAACAAAGATAGCCCACTTAGGATAAATATCATCTGCTAGATAATATCTCATATCGTAAACATTACCATTCACGACATACAAAACACGTGGAGCGTGGCCACTTAGGACATCATAAAAAATGGGGGATTTATCAAACACATTAATATCATTGCAAGAACCTAGTGTCCCGAAGAATGCATGCCAAATCCAAAGGCCACGAGAGGCAACATCTTCCAAGATAAGGGTAGCTTTTCTATTCCTACCCTGAAACATATCTCTCCATGCTCGGGGACAATTCTTCCACTCCCAGCGCATGCAATCAATGTTAGCCATCATGCCTGGGAATCCACGACTTTCACCCTCCGCAAGAAGCTGTGTGACGTCTTGGGTGTTTGGCCTACAAAGGTACTCGAGCAAAAATATGGTTGTGACCCCTTCAACAGATTGAAGGAGACATTCTCTTCCAGTTGTATCTGCAACTTTGAAATGCTCATCTAAAATATCCGTCGTAACTCCAAACGCCAATATCTATATGGCACGAGTGCACTTTTGTTGCGCAGATAATCCCATTCGACCAACAACATCTCACTTTTGGTGAAAGAACGAATTATGTTCACTCAAAGCATTCATGATTCGCTCAAAGACACATTTGCGCATACGAAATCGACGACGAAACTCACGTTGTCCATATGTTGGGGTAACAATGAAGTAATCACGCATTAGACGATTATGAGCATCGTCACGGTCCCTATGCAAGTAGCGTCGCCTTTGGGTTGGGCGCTCAATTGTTTGTATTAGCAATTGAGGTAAAGTAGATATTATGTTATACTCTACATCCCTTCTCTCTTCACGTCGTGCGTCAACATCTTGATTGAACTTGACGAACTCATCAAGTTCGCTTTGCAATTCATCGACGTAGGAGTCGGAGCCTCGGAGGAGATAGAGGATGCACACATATTCAGGGAGTTCAATTGAGGTGTGTTTTTTCTTCAACGTAGTGTCCACATTAAATAGTTGTGATTTAGACTGGTAGATGTGGTTGGTATGAGTTATGTTAGTTGGTATGCATTTATTTTTTTAGGTAAGTATGAAGTTGGTAGGTGCATTTAGTTGGTAGGCATGCATTTATTAGGTAAGTATGTATATATTTATTAGGTACATATTTAACTGGTGGGTGATGTTAGGTGTGGAGTAAATTTTTAAATTAATAAATTGGTAGAGCACTCCTTAATAACTACAATGAGTTCAATTCACCATATGGATAAGTGAGGACAACTATTACTAATCCTTTAAACCACAAATAGAGTGGTTAAGGTCTTCAAGTAGGAGCCCGTTTGGTAGCACGAAAATCGGTTGATTTGGCTGAATCTGCTGAAATTTATGAAGTTCTGTTTGAAGTGAATGCTGCCGATTTAAGAAAAAAAATTAAATATATTATATTAATAAAATAAAATAAAAATATGTAAAAATAGCTAAAATGATATTTACAACAACTTCAGCCAATACAGCCAAAGAAGTAACTTCAACATTACATTTTCTTCTTATTACACAACTCAACGCGCGAAAGCAAAGTTACATGTTTGGTGAAAAAGTTGGTTGATAAGCTGATAAGCCGAAAAACGGTGTTGCCAAACGATCAGCTAGATATGCCATAAAAATATAAAATAGAAATATAAAATAGAAAAGGGAGGAATAATACGATGTGAGCATGTCCCTGTGCTATGGCCGCGTGACAGAAACTTATAAAGTATGGGAAAATTTATTAGTATTATTATAGTTTGCTTTTATTATTATTATTATTATTATTATTATTATTATTATTATTATTATTATTATTATTATTATTATTATTATTATTATTATTATTATTATTATTATTATTATTATTATTATTATTATTATTATTATTATTATTATTATTATTATTATTATTATTATTATTATTATTATTATTATTATTATTATTATTATTATTATTATTATTATTATTATTATTATTATTATTATTATTATTATTATTATTATTATTATTATTATTATTATTATTATTATTATTATTATTATTATTATTATTATTATTATTATTATTATTATTATTATTATTATTATTATTATTATTATTATTATTATTATTATTATTATTATTATTATTATTAGTTAGTACTACGTAATAGTTTCCTCTAGTAGTAGTATTTTGATATGTTACGAGATTCATAGGTTAGAAGACCTCTAATATTTGATCACCAAGACTGTTGTGGAGTAGTATAAATAGAGGGAGGGTTTATTCGCTAATAGTATCATCAGTAATCTGGGAATTTTTTCTTATTATGGGTATTTTCGGCAAGACCAAGCCCTGCCCTGCCCTGCCCTGCCAAAAGGGTGTGTAGTTATTACTTTCATAGCTGTTATTCTTATTGATCTTTTTCTCAAACGCCTCACATCGCACAGTGATAGGCTGATAGCATTTGCAGACTAAATTAAAACCGACGAGGGGAAGTTTGAAACACAAGATCACTTACAAAATTTAAATGTTAAAATTTGTCCCAAAAAAGATGTTCAAATTTGTCTTGATGATGATAAAGTTAAACATTCACTTCTAAAATTTAAATGTTAAACTTAACATATTTAGGATGTTTTTACTTGGACTGTAATTTGTCCCAGACCAGTCCAGACCAGACTTGGATAATTATAAAAATACAAAGAAACCAGACCAGACCAGTTCAGACCAGCAAATTACAGTCCAAGTAAAAACATCCTTAAAAACTACAACCAAAAGTTTTACTAAACCTCAAAAACCAGATTCCAATATGATCACACAAATGATATTCAAAACCAGATAAGTAAATAAAACTGGGTTGACCAAAAAGTAAACTTTCAAGTCATTCTGGGACAAGGGAGTACTAAAAATGAATATAGAAGAATTCTAGACTGTTTAATTATTACTACTTCAAAGGCGAATCTTGTGCAGCTAGAGCGCATTTCTCCACAAAAATCACTCATTGCCACACAAATGGATCAATTATGCGACAAAGTACTTAACCATCTGAACCTCCTTCTTCTTGAACCCACATTTCTCATAGAATGGCTTATTCTCCTCACTGCAGTCAAGAATCACCTTGTAACACCCCATTGAAGCGGAGTGATCCGTCAGGAACTCAACAACCCTCTTCCCAAGCTGCAATCCACGAGCACCCGAATCAACTACAACATCCTCAATGTGACCGACTTTTCCGCAGTTCCTAATGAACTTCCTCTCCACAAACACACTCCCAGTCGCAACAATCTTTCCAGAAATGACATCTTCGATCACACATATTACATGGTCGTCCCCATATTTCGCCACTTCCTCAAACCTTTCCTTGAATTTTTCATCTGACACTGCATCACACACGGTTAATTGCTGTAACAGTTCGATAAACCCCTTGCTCTTGTCTAAGATTTCTAATCTTCGAATCCGAAAATTTTCCTCACTTCCGCGACTCGGGATTTGCATCTTTTGCAGCAGATTTCAAGAAGAGAGTGGACTGAGGGATGTTTCAAAGCCCTTACCGAATGAGTTGAGGGGAGTGGAGGGCAATGGCTACCATTGTTTGAGTCTTCCGGCTGGGCAACCCTGGTCAGCTGGTCTCAAGGCTCAAGCACTCAAGAAATCAAATGTAGGTGTGAAGCCAGGAACGAAAAGTTATTAACACTGTGACAGACTCGAACTTTGCTACACTCTGAACAAAGCAGAAACATGAAGGGTCTGAATCCAAAGAAAGGGAATAACTACGATTAAAACTCTAACAGCAAAAAATTAGACAAACCCACATACAGGGGCGTAGCCAGGACAGATGTTGGGGGGGCTATAAACTAAAAAACACTATGTAAAAATTTTAAATGCGTAAATAGTGTGAACATAATGATTAAAATCCATAAAAATCATAATAATATTTTCAATCACTTATCTTTTTCCGTATTCCGGGATCCCGCTCAATTTCAAGTGTATTAGAAACAACTTCCTCTTGAAAGATGAGATATTTGGAGTTTAAATCGAATCATTTAACTCTTGTCTATTTTATGTACTTTGTACTAAGCTTATAAAACGAAAGCAATGTCGTTTTGGAAGTAGGTAGATTGAGTGTCATACCTACTAAAATTAACAAAATTTATAAGAAATTAAAAAATTACATTTGACATTCCCAATTTTCGATTTCGCAATTCAAATCACACAAATGAATTAAATGACACACTAACACAAATTAAAATTAAAATGTAAAAATAAGAACAGATAAACTTACATGAGAATCGAGAGAAGCAGAGGTGAAGAAGGGGCCGAAGGTCAGATTTTAAGATTGCCAACAAGCGGCCTACGGCGATGCGAGCGGCGGAGAGGCCCTGCGTTCGATGAGTTGTCTCCTCGCGGCGTGCGTCCCATTCGCCCGACCTCTGCTGCTTATTCCCATTTTTCTATCATCTATTAGATTGGGCCATGGACAGTGGACAATGGGATGAATACCTGTACTGGGCCAGATTTTTTTGCACCGGCCCGTTCTATTTTTTAATATACTCCCTCCGCCCCGCAAAGATGTTCCCGCTTTCCTTTTTTGGATGTCCCAAAAAGAAGTTCCCCTTTCCCTAAATGGAAAGTTATCCTACATCAAAACAGTGTCAAACAGTGCCAAACAGTGTCTAAACAGTGTCAAACAGTGTCTAAACAGTAAAGTCAAAGTTATTTCCTAAATATGTGTGTAGGTCAAACCGGGAACATCTTTACGGGACTGAGGGAGTATAAAATACTAAAAAATGCCTTGGGTCGGGCCCTCTCCCACCGCCGCTGTCCTCGTAGATAAATCATTTGCACTTCCCCGTCATCTTCTCAAAAATGCCTTGAGTATTTGATGGTTCGATTTTCTCTTCAATGTGAAAAAACGTTCATTGTGGAAGGAGGCCAATGTAAAGAGGATGTTGATTGTACCGCACAAAAATAGAAAAATCACTTATCTAAACGGTGTGTGGGACTTAGATGGACTCACATTAAAATAATACATCCATTTCAACACAATTGTGAATTTAAAAAAATACCTCACACCCAATATTATTAAAAAACTAATGCATGTTTTTACAGAACTCCTCTTCTAACGATCTTCATCTTCAAAGGCATAACATGGAACCGCCGTCCGGATATCTTCAAAGTTTCTAATAGAATTTTTGATAAATTTTTTTTGTCATGCTCCTCATGAAGTTAATCACAATGCAGTCATCGGTTCACTGCAGAGCCTCTCGGTAAGAAGATAAGTTCTTTAATGACGCGCCAAGCTTATCTAGCAATGAGGATGAGCACAGGCAGATCTAGGAGACAATCTAGGTCCCGACTCATCCCAAATTAAAAAAAATAACTTAATTTTTAAAAAATATTATATTCCTTGTAAAAAGATATTTTTTGTACTGGATCAGTGCCTTGACCCGCCTGGAGGATGAGGCTTCTATTTAGCCATGAATTTTTAGATAGACTCTTGTGTTCTATCTTATAGGCCATGGCAGTTCTTTTCGCTGGATGATTAAAGTTACACGTTATTTAAAAAAATATCAAGAAAAGTTGTCTCTTGAATTAACAACTTGAACTATATCATTTGAGAAAGAAATAAGAAACTCATTTGTACGTAGAGAAACTCATTTGTACTATAAATTTATAGTTTGTACTATAAATTTACCATTCTCTTGAATTAACAACTTGAACTATAAAGTGTGTGAAGAAACTCATTCGTGTAGAAAAAGAAATAAGAGAAAGAAATTATAAACTGAGTTAAAAAACTCATTTGTATACAGAAAGAAAAGAAGAAACCGCAATCGAAGGCAAGGTAGAGTTACGAGAAAGGGTAAATGGGGCACTTATTGTTAATTTTGCTTGATTTTTGTACTGAAAAATACATAAGGGGCTATAAGTAAGGATATACTTGGACGGGTCGGCCCGACCTGGACCCAACCAGGCCGGCACGGTTCAGGCCCGATCCCGGCCCGCTGTCCGACCCGGTGGCTATAAAGGTGGGCTTTGGGCTCATTTTTTGGGCCCGACCCGGCCGGGCCGAGCTCGGACCCAATTTCATTTTTTTTAATTTATTTCTCAACCTCGTCCCCGAAACCTGGCCCGGTACTGTTTAGGCCTGACCCAGTCCCGGTAAAACCCGGGCCCATATCGGGCTTGTATTTCATAAGCCCGAGTCTGCCCAGGCCCGGCCCGGAGCCCGGCCCATCATGGTCCCTGTGCACTCCTAGGTATAGGTTCCCTATCACATAATTGAGAAGTACATAAGTTCCATATTCCTAATGCAAATAAATCGGGCAAATGTGTTTTATACTTCAACAGTTTAACATATTCGAAAGTTCACTCTTGTACCAATGGCCCAGCGTTTCGGGACACAAATTATATTTTTATGCTTCTCATTAGTTCAAAATGATGTAAGATTTTGCATATTTCTTAAGCTAAAATGCTCGAGTATTATGTACCTAAGGTAACCACAAGATTTCAAGGTATGGCCTAATAACCGTTGGTCATTTTGATTACTACAAAGTACTGATGAGTATTAGGTTCAGCCATTCAGCAAACGTCCCATTTATAAGTTTACTAGCAAAGTACGCATTACATGCCATGGATACCCAACATGTGATTAAAAACAATTGGATTTTCATCATATCTAAAAAAAAATTACATAAAATGTTTTGGTATAATAATTGTTTTGCGTAAATGTTTTAAAAAATAAATAAAACAAATATCATAAAATTGAAAAAATGTTTTGGACTTTAGTGTTTTGAAAGCACTTTAAAAAATAGCTAATAAATTCCAAGGGATGTGCTTTTGGTCAAGGAGGACTCTGCATTAAACTAAACACTCTTATAATAGGAAGGGTGAGGGCACACTTTGAAAAACTATTTTATTTTTTATCGAAGAAATGAGAGAAAAACTTGTGTAAAATGTGCATGCCACGTACTTTGCAAATTTGAACTTATTACATGTCTCTTCCCAACTGTAGGTGTAAGACATACCCCACTTGTTGTCTCTTATTATCAACTAGTGTTACGACATGCGATGCACGAAACGAAGATGCCCAAAGGTATTTTGATAGGGTTAACATAATGGAATATTAATGATTAGTATATTTGGTTTGTTTGAAATTGCACACAAAATTTATGCATATCTTTGCCATAACAACTGATTAAAAATATGTGAGGCTTCTCTTTGCTCGTAACTGGAGCAAGCTAAAGATCATTTCCAAACACCCTATAAGAATATAAGAATATAATTTCAACATTGTGTTAATAAACCATCTAAACGAATTTAAGTTAAAGAGGCAAGTGCAGGACATTTCGATATTTGAGTCCAATAGCCCTAAATATGTTGTAATATCAAAGATTTTTAATTTTATAGTGGGTAGGACATGTGTGCCATTTTTATATTTGTGTCCAATAGCCCTAAATAAGTAGTAATTATGAGGCAAGTGCCATAACGAATGTGAGTTAATAGTTCCACTAGGGTAAAATCAATAGTATTTCCGATTTAATAGTTTGATATTCATCTTTAATAAGCATATGCAATAAAGTATCCCACGAACTGATAGATATTGCTTAGGATCGAGTTAGGAGTACCAGATCAAACTTGTGTCTGCATATTGATATTTCCATTATTCGACTACACTTATGCCTTAAACATATACTTCGTATGAAGTTATGATCTCGGCATTTGAAAACAATGTTATTATTTTTAAATATTAATAGCAAAACTTATGCTTTTATACGTATAAAAATAACACACAAATTACAACTACAATATATTTTTCATATTGTTTGGTATTATTAGTTATTGTTTTTTTTTGTTTTTTTTTTTTTGTTTTTTGGTATAATAAATACAATAATAACCATAATATTGATAACAAAAGTATTGATAATAGTAATATTCATAATAATAATAATAATGAGTATAATAATAATAAGAATAATATTAATAATAATAACAATAATAAATCATATTGCAACTTTTCTGATTAGATCTATATTTTGTGATAAGATATGGTTTGAATCATCCTGATCTGATTTGAGTTTTTCAATTTGATAGATTGATATGAGTATATGACCATATCTAAAATTTTCTGATCTCCATAAATTAAGAACAAGAATACGATTAACAGAACCACTCCCAACAAATAGTTACCGATTTACGGGAGTCGGATTCTCCAATTCCGACAGAAGAAAACAAAATAAAAAAAACACCTAGTCGGAATTGTGTAATCCGACTGGGGGGGTGTTCGAATTTTTTAAAAGTTTCCATTATTTAATCCGAAGGAATTTAAAAAAAATACAAAAACCTAGTCGGAATTGTGTAATCCGACTAGGGGGTGTTCAAATTTTTTTAAAGTTTCCATTATTTTACTTGTGTAATCCGAAGGAATTAAAAAAAAATACAAAAACCTAGTCAGAATTGTGTAATCCGACTAGGGGGTGTTCGAATTTTATAAAAGTTGGCATTATTTTATTTGTGTAATTCGAAGGAATAAAAAAAAACTAGTCGGAATTGTGTAATCCGACTAGGGGTATTGGTATTTTTGTTTGCTTTGATTTGTGTTCAATCATCTACTCCGTAATATATATATTTTGATTTGAAATAAAACTAAAAAAACAAATTTATCCCTGTCGGAAATGCTAAATCCGATCAGGGGATGTGTTTTAGAAATTTTATTTTTTTTAATTTTAAGAAATTTTATGAAATTTTAAGAAATTTTATAAATTACCCTATATTTTGTTTTATTCTAAGAAATTTTATATATTAAATTTTAGGGAAAAGTACGGAATAAGTACTTGTGGTTGGGCTTATTTTCAGATAGCTTCATGTGTTTCGTTCTTTATCAAAGTGGTTCATGCGTTTGAATTCCGTTATCAGAAGAGGGTCACGCCGTTAAAAACTTCTGAAAAATACCGTTAAAAGTAACTCCCATTTTCAAAATTGTCCAAAAAATTAAAAGAAAACGACCGAAATGTGCGCCTCAATAAGACGACCGCTAGGTCATATTTCTTTTTTGTTTTTAGCCATTCGTGTCACCAGAAAGTCTATCGTAAATGTGATATTAGCGAAATCATTTTTAAAAAATAATTCAAATAGATCTGAAAATTCCAAAGGCGAAGGTGGTTTGGAGGTCATCTTGACGAGGTGCACCTTTCAGTATTTTTCTTTTAATTTGTTGGGCACTTTTGAAAATCGAAGTTACTTTGAAAATGGAGTTGGGGATCAGCGGTTCTCGGGTACCTCTACCATAACTTGTGCAACGGCGCGATGTGGGAAACCAAACAAGTTGGCGGTTGTATGCACTAGTTACAGATTTGGGCTTGGTCGAGGATTTCGATGGTCTGTCCCTCAGCACTTCAGGTCATTCAACATGACCATCTTCCATATGGGTGCAGGTATATGTTGGCAATTACATCTTAATAATTGAGAATGCTTT